ACCAGCCAGAAGACTGGAGTTACATTTTTAAAGGGATGCTATCAAGGTAGGTGCTGCCGGTAGAAACTGGGGCTTAGTCCAATTAGGAAATCTGGGAGCCAGTGCAGAACATGAACCTAGGAGTTGTCTCACCCCAGGGTTGAGGGAACTGGGATATTTACACACCAGCTCCTGCCAGCCATTGATTCGGGGATCCTCTAGGTAGCAACAATTCCCAGGCAATGCTGGCAGGCTCTTGAGGGCAGAGTGCAGCTGCTCTGTGCCAAGATTGTTGTCTGATAGAGTGGCTATGTTCAGTGGGTGTCAGTGATTGTTTTTCAAGGAGCTGATCTCTTGATTTTTTTGGTGAAGATCCTCCTCTGCGGTGGCTCAGAACTTTCTCCCTGCAGACACTGGTTTCCGGGTCTTGGAAAAGACCTAGCTGATGGCTAGCACCAAGGCCCATGGCCAGGCACCCAGGAGAGTCCCCAGTGCCCTAGTCTGGCTAGACCAGAGCCAGGGACATAGGCTGAATGAGAAAGAACCCAGGATTTGGAGTCAGGCAGACCTGGGCAGTAAGGGTGTGGGGTGGATCTCCCAGCTCTTCTATCACATAGGTGTGTGACCCTGGGAATGCGATTTCACTTTCTTGAACTCTAAAATTCCTCATTTGCCAAGTGGTGATACATCACAGGATTGTTTTATTACCTACCTATTGTGGTGTTGCAAACCATTCCAAAATTGGTTGGCTTAAAACTACAACCATCTATTTCTCTCATGAGCCTGTGGATTGGCAACTGGGGCTGGGTTCAGCCAGCTGGTTCTTCTGCCAGTCTTGACTGGGTTCTTTTAGGTGTCTGTAGGTGGTCAGCTGGTGGTCAGTGACCTCACTCACAGGTTGGGGGTTTGGCTGACCATTGACTGGGGTAACCGGGGTAACTGGTCCATGGGTCTCTCATCATCCCACATCCTAGGCTGGGCTTGTTCACATGGTGGCAGTCTTGAGATTTCTAAGAGCCACAAGAGAGCACATCTAATGCTCTAGCAAATTTTCAAACCTCTGCTTGTGTGAAGTTTGTTACTGTCCACAGGCAGCCAAAGCAAGTCATATGACCGGATTCATGTGGTGGAGAAATTGATGGGAAAGGGAGAATTTGGCCAGAGACAATATAAGTAAACCTCCTATAAGCATTGTGCATGTTTTTTAAATGTATTGACAGTGATTACATTTCTCTCTTCCAGGTTTTTAGCACTAAAAAGGGGGTGTTATAATTACTAATAATTATTAAATCAATAGGAATTAATTTTTGTCCCGTGTCCTGTCTGCACTTTCTCCTGTATGCCATGAAGATAATTGCTCTGTCAGACAGTGATGTAGTGAGGGCAGAGTGAGAGAATGACAGTAAAGTATTTGCACAGAGCCTGGTGAGAGGAACTCTGTTATAATGGTGTGAAATGTGCGTCTCCTCCCTGCACACACAAAGGCAACCCAGACGTGATCCCTTTTTCATTTCTGTTTTATTTTGACCCACATCTCACTTTTCAAAAAACCCGAGGCTCAGAGCTGTTTGTGGAGACTCTCCTCCAGGCTGTCCTTTCTTCTCTCTCCCTGAAGGTACCTCCTCCCTTTGTGTTTCATCCCCTACCTCTGCCCCAGCCTAGGGTTCAGGGGGATGAAGCCATAGCTTCAGGGGGATCCGAGGAGCACCCTAGGGCCACAAGGCCCTTTCCAGTAAGGATTACAAAGATGGGAAGTGCTGGGTGCCTCTGTCAGTGGCCTTTAAATATTTGCAGCTCAGACACAGCCCAGCATACTCCCAGTTCCCCCAAGGGGTGATTCTTCCCAATCTGTGAAAGAAGGGAGCCCCCTCCAACTTGTACCTTCTCAGGGCTCCCAGAGGCCTCTCAGCAGCTTCTGAAGCTCTGTAGCACCAACTGACACCTCCTGGAAATTGCTTAATGCTTTGAGCCTGAGGAAGCTCATATCAGCCTGTCAGTCAATCCTGAACTACCCTGGAAGAGCAGAGTAGAGGCTCACAGTCTCAAAACTTGGATGGTCTAAAATATGAGTAACTTTTATGTTGAGCATCCCCCACCCCAGATCTTCTGAGACAAGAAGAAGCTGCGGCAGCTTAATTCTCAACCTTCCTCATCCAGGGCCAGGACGAAAGAGAGCAGGGGATGGTGAGGGTGGTAAGAGAAAACCTTCTCCTCTGAGCTGGCTGAGACAGCCCTGCTGCTGGAGACAACTGTTCTTCTGAGACCTACTGTAAATTTTAAAAATTTTACTGTTATTTATGTATTTTTTTTTTTTTTTTTTGAGACAAGGTCTCACTCTGTCACCCAGGCTGGAGTGCAGTGGCATGATCTCAGCTCACAGCAACCTCTGCTTCCCAGGCTTAAGTGATTCTCCCACCTCAGCCTTCCAAGCAGCTGGGACCACAGGAATACACCATCACACCCTGCTAACTTTTGAATTTTTTCGAGAGATGGGGTTTTGCCACATTGCCCATGCTGATCTTGAACTGCTGGGCTCAAGCAAGACTCCCAAAGTGCTGATATTACAGGTGTGGACTACAGTGGTATAAGATGGACTTTGAGCAGCTCCCAGGCTGGGTGTTTTCCCTGTATTATTGTGTTAATTCTCACAACATCCTCTGGAGGCTGGCAGTGGCAAACCCATTTTACAGATGCAGGTACTGAGGATAAGAGAATTTTTTTTTCTCTTCTTCTTTCCAGGCAACGCTGAAGGAAAGGATCAGAGAATTTAAGAAAATGTTCTTTGAGTTCAGAGTTCAAAAATGAAGCATAATTGATTAGCGTGGGTGGAGACAGGCTTGGGGGCAAAGCTGATGCTGAGTCCTGGCCTCCCCTGCCTCAGCATCTCAGCATAGAGGAGCGGAGAGAGTACTGCATGCAAGGCGGTAAGGCTGGATTCAAGCACCTTTTTTTTTTTTTTTTTTTTTTTTTTTTTTTGAGACATAGTCTCACTCTGTCACCCAAGCTGGAGTGTGCAGTGGCTCGATCTTGGCTTACTGCAACTTCCTTTTCCTGGGTTCAAGCGATTTTCTTGCCTCAGCCTCCCGAGTAGCTGTGATTACAGGCCTGCACCACCATGTGCAAACAATTTTTGTATTTTTAGTAGAGATGGAGTTGAGTTTCGCCATGTTGGCCAGGCTGGTCTTGAACTCCTGACCTCGAGTGATCTGCCTCAAGTGATCCGCCTGGGATTACAGGCATGAGCCACTGTGCCTGGCCTTAGATTCAAGCACTTTTATCAAAACAGAAGGTCTTTGGATTTTGCCATGAAGGTAAATTTCGTTGAACTCTCTGAGCCTCAGTTTTCTCGCCTGTAAAATAGGATCGTTGTGAGGACGAGTGAGGAGATGAATATAAAAGCAGGCAGAGGAGAACAGGGACCCAGTGAATGCGGTACCCCTGCATGGCCCCTCCAGCCAGCCTTGCCTCTCTTGCTGGGCACTTCCAAGGACAGCTCAGTCCTACAGTCACAGAGGGGCCCAGGCCCCAGCCCAAGGCAAATGCTGTGGCTTCCATGATGGTTTCGAACAACTCTGCTATTCCAGACGGGACCTAGACTGACATTCTCTTGTAAATATTGATGAAGGCCCCAGATAGAAACAAGAAAACAAAGGACATTTTATTTGTGATAGAAAGAGAAAGCAACAGAAAACAAAAACCTACAGGCCCAACAGGAGGGGAGATGTTTAAATAAACCTTGGTACATTCACTCCGTGGAACACTGTGCAGCTATTGGAATGATGTTTACCCAGGATTTGTAATAACACGGAAACATGCTTATTATAAAATGCTAAGTGCAAACAGGAAGAAACTGAATGTATATTTAGCATAATCACATCTAGGCAAAAATCAAGCCAAACAAAAACTTTGCACAGAAGAAAAAGACCAGAGGGACACACACCGCAGTAGGGGGTGTCTTTGAGTGACGAAGTTGGGAGATTTTTAATCCCTTTGTCTGTTTTTTATTTTTTTCAATAATGGGCCTGATTGGCTTAAAGTGGAAGCAACCCAAATTTTATTATTATTATTATTATTATTTTCTGACAAAGAAAGAATTCCTATTGGAAAAGCAGGAAGCCAAGTGACACAGAGACCACTCCAAAGCTAAAGGCAGGAGGCCAACAGACCCCAGGCTATCAAGCAAAGTCAAGTAGAAATCCGAGACTCTGGCCCCATGAGGTGATCTCAGCTGCACACCTGAGTATGGGGTCTACAACATTCCGGTAATGACACTGGCTGTCACTCCTCTATGTTATCCGTGTTGGTGTGATTGAGTTCTTTCCCTTACTACAAAGGCTGAACCAGAATCGCTGGGCCCCTGTCCTTCTTCCCACACCAAGATGGCACTCCTTGGAAGCTGCCCTGCTCTCCTTGGTGGGCACAGCAAAGTCCTCCTGGCATCAAGGCCAACCTTCTGATTCCCTGAGCCAGTCCTGGTCTGGGTAACTCCCTGATTTCCGTTCAGGTCCCTGTTCAAATGTCATTCTATCAGGGAGGCCCGATCACATGACTGCAAAGAGCAGCCCCTTTCCTCCGGCACTCACGATCCCACGTCCCCGCCTCGGCTTTCTCCTTAGTGTGTATGTTGCCTGGGTTCTAGATCCTATGTGTTTCTTTTTAAAAGTGTCCATTTTCTGGGTGTTGGACAATGAAAACACATGGGCACAGGGAGGGGAACGCCACACACCAGGGCCTTTTGGGGGGTGGGGGGCTAGGGGAGGGATAGCAGGGGGTGGGAGGATTGGGGAGGGATAGCATTAGGAGAAATACTTCATGTAGACGATGGGGTGATGGGTGCAGCCAACCACCAGGGCACGTGCATACCTATGTCACAAACCTGCATGTTCTGCACATGTACCCCGGAACTTAAAGTATAATAAATCAATTTTTAAAAGTGTCCATTTTCCTTTGCTACAATGTGAGCTCCAGTAAGGCATGTATCTGCTGCATCTCTAGCACCTAGAACACTGCCCAGCCCAAACATTCTGTAAATGTTTATTTCAGGAGTAAATAAATACATCCTGACCATGTTTTTTTTTTTTTTTTTTTTTGGTGTGTGTACACATGTAGTTTTATTGTAACACACAAAGCCGCTCCTATACTTCCCATGTTTAAAACTGAGCATCATCTTTCTAGTGAAACAAAAACTTAAAAATAAACAGGAACAAAATTACAGTAGAGAATGTCAATTCCAAATCAGATCCTACAGGTTCTGCTGATGCTCCCATGAGTGGCAGGACTCAAGCCATCATTAAGAGAGAATTTATTTAAAAGCGTCATCTGAAACTGCAAGGACCATTGTATCCTCAGGGGGTCTTTCCAAGGTTTTGAGCTACCTTGTTGCACCATGAAGGCCCTGACCACATTCTTCCTGAAGCCCAGCTCGAGACCCCCAGGCCAGCGACGACAACCACATCAGCTCTCATCTACAGGTAGTGACTGCCTGCACTGTGTTGAAATACTTATGAGGCCATTGTGAGAACTTGCCAGGAAAAGATAGGATGACTGACGAATCGTTTTGCCAGTGGACCCATGAGAGGTAGATCAGATGGACTGTGTACACCTCCTCTCAGCCCAGACCCAAATCTCAGCTTCCCCTTTCATTTGAAGACCACACCCACCATCGGTTGGGGTCTGGAACACATGGGCCACCTTATTCCTGGAATCAGTCCCTGCCCTCTAACACAGGTATGCAGTGGGCTTTGGAATGTTTTCCCAGAGTGGTCCTCGCGCCTCCTGGGCTTGGCACCTTTCCAGAACTTCGCCTCATGTGGTTGTTGCCTTGTCTGCCTGGCCCCTCTCTAGAGGTCTGCCCTCGAGGGCTGGGTCTGGCTCCACCTGCCCCAGCTCCTATGTGCGGTTCTCCTCCCAAGCAAGTCCTTCCCCCAGTCCAGCAGCACAGTGCTAGTGCCGCCTTCCGGTCTTGTCACTGAAGCTATTCTCACCCACCCCACTGGTCCCTTGGAGGTTCATGCCTGAGTGTTGACGCTGAGCTTGAATGTGGCCTTGGCTGGGGTCAGGGGTCACTCTCCCCAGGAGGCAGCCATGGTCCCAGCTGACTTTCCCTTCCTAGTCTCTGATTTAGGAGGAAACTCAGCTGCCTCCTCTTTCTGGCCCAGGCCAGGGATGACGGCCTTCTGCGGTCCACGCTTTCCTCTCATGTCCAAGCCAAGCTCTTTTTCAACCTTTGTTCCAGTCCTGCTTCTTCCAACAAGACCCACAAGCCGGGCCCCAGCAGCTTCAGGGGACACAAGCTCTAGCTGGGACCACCTGGGAAACGGGGAAAACTGTCTCTTGGGGGCTCCCATTTATCCACAGGGTGGATAGGGACATGAATTGTTCCTCCCATTTTCAAGACAGGGACACTGAGGTCCAAAGCATCCTTATTTTCTCCCTTATCAGACCCTGCTCTGGTGCACCTCCCATCTCCCCTGGCTTCTGGTTGGGACCAAGAGCATCACTGCTTTCCCATCTGTGTCTGCGTCTCCCTCAGAGATGGAACAAGGGCTGTGGTAATCCACTGGGCCAGGCTCTCTCCCGTCCCTCCTGGAAGAACCAGTGCCCTTCTGAGGCTGGGGGTCTCCTTCATTCAGAGTTTATCAAACCCAGTGTCAAAGGAGATTCAGTCTCTGGATGCTTCACTAGAATCTTCTAGTTCCTCGGCTTGGTCATGGACCTGAAAATGTGAATGAGGCACACTGGGTGACTGCACCTGGCACACGGAGGGCAAATGATGCTGTCACCTGAAGTGTTGACTGGTGGTGGCTGCCCCAGCTTCCAGACAGGGAGAGGGCTAGAGATCTGGGCATGAGTGTGATGGTCAGTTAACATGGGGAGGGTCGAGGGGCAGGAGGGCCCCTGGATCACATAGTTTCTTCCATCTGCTGAGACTTCCCTGTATCCTTAGCAGACCTGCACCAGAAGACAGCTTGGTACAATGAGTGCTTCTCTTTCTTCCAATAAGGAGAAAAGTAAGGTGGGCTTTGGTAAATTTTCTCGCAAGCAAGAGTCCCCTAGGCTGGCCCCAACTTCAGTTGTTCTACTTTTCAAACCACCACTCCCTCTGGCCAGGCCCCCTGGGGCTCCCTGGGCTCCTTCCTGGTCCTGCCCAAGTCACTTGCCTCCATCTTTCCCACCTGTGTGTCCCAGAGCTTCTGGGAACCCTGGAGGCAGGCCCGGTTGCTGATGTTTAGGAAAGGGCACTGGCGGCTCAGAGAGCCAAACCCTCTCCAGAGCAACCAGCTTGAGGGGCTGCTGGGGTCCACTGGCTCCTAGAATTGTGATGCAATGAGGCTATGCCCCCTAAACTTTGGTGGAGTCCTGGTGTATCCCCCCAAGAATTCAGAGTTGAAGCAAGGGCGATCATCCCTGAAGACATGAATCCCTTCTGCCTTGGAACACCAGCTCCTGGCCGCCTGGTCTGCAGTGGGGCCTCCGCAGCCATGAAGGGTTAAGATTCATCTAAGACCCCTCTCCCCCTGCCAGGGGAGGAGAAAGGACTGGAATTCACCTCTTTATGCCACATTCCTGGGCTGCCTGATTGTCTGGAAATGGCCCCCGGTCGGATGGCTGGCGGTGGAGGCCTGCGGCCCCCAGCTTTGCATGAGGAGCCCAGTTGAGGGACTGCTAGACTCTGGTCTGGGGCAAATCGGGGGTGGGCAAGGTCAGGACGGTGGGCAGGAGGGTGCCCTGCGGGGCCGGGAAGCTCTGCAGCTCCTTGGGCACAAACCTGGGCGAGACAGAGTCTGCCAGGAAGCAGAGGGTGCGCCGGCGCCCCACGCAGTAGATGAGGTTGTCCACCACGGCGCACTGGAAGGCGTCCGGGTAAGGCGTGCGGTACGTGGCGCACTCGTACCAGAGCCGGGTGCTGACGCTGCAGCGGTACACGCCGATACCCAGGCTGCGGTGCAGGTCGAAGCGGTAGAGGAAGCCGTTGACCGCCACCATCTCGGCCGTGCGCTCCCGGCTGCCCCCGGTGGGGCCGGCCCACCAGCGCTGCTCCTGCGCGGAGAAGCGGAGCAGCAGGAAGCGCAGCGAGCCGCCGGTCACGAAGATCTCCCGGGCGCACGCCGTGGCCGTGTGCGCCAGGGCGAACGTGTCGTTGGGGAGCGGCGGGGCAAAGTCCCAGCGGTCCAGGCTGGGGTCGTAACGCTCCACCGTGTTCAGACACTCCCCGCCGATGGCGTACAGGTGCCCGTCCAGGGCCACCAGCCGGCAGTGCGGCCGGGCCTGGTTCAGCGGGCACACCTCGCTCCAGATGCCCGTGAGCGGGTTGTAGCAGAAGACGCGGCTGGAGGGCTGGTGCCCGGGCCCCTGACAGCCGGACACCACGAAGAGATAGTTGAAGAGGCTGCAGATGGCACAGCCCCGGGACACGGCCTCGGGAGGCAGGCGAGCCAGCGGGTGCCAGGCGTCCCGCTCGTCGTCATAGCAACACAGGCCTCCGCAGTCTTTCTTGGGGCACACATCAGCCACCACCAGGTACTGGCGGCCCCGGAGCCGGCGCTGCAGGATCAGCTCCCGCTCTGCCCCGCTCAGGCCCCCGTGGATGTCCGGGCTGCGCAGCACCTGGAGGTAGTTGTCACTCATTACCTTGTAGGCCGCCTCCTTCAGGGCCTCCAGGTTCTGCCTCTTGGCTAAGGTCAGCACCTCATAGCAATTGCCCAGATCCAGGTGGACCTGTGGGGCTGGAGCAGGGGTGAGCGGGAAGTGGAAGAAATTGGTCCCAGCCACCAGCTGCACATGGGGCTCCCAGCTGCTTCTGCCTGAGCTAGGCAGGGCGCCCAGGTCTGGGCAGTGGGGAGCAGGGAGCTGGGAGCCGTCCGGCTGCAGCTGCAGCTCTGGGTTCTCCGCTATCTGCAGGAGGCTCTCCTTCCGGCTGAAGCCTCTGGTGGAGGATGACCTCCCTGGCTGAGGGGAGGTGGCTCTTTCAGCTGCACCCTTTGTGTCACCAGCTTGGCTTCCTGAGGCTGCCCCTGTTCCCTGGGACGCTGGCGGTGGCATAAGGGATGGAACCTCAGTCGGGACTGCTGTCCTGGGAGCCAAGCTGCCCTGGAAGAGGGCCTGAGAGGTCGATTCCACGTAGTAGTCGTACACCTTGCCCTTGAGACTGGGCCTGACCCCATCCACGTTCTGTATGAAATTCTCCTCCATTCGGACACGGGCTATGGACGAGAAGGTATAGGAGGCGTTGGGGGCTCCCTCCTGATGATGCAGGGTCAGGTCAACATCGGACACAGCCTGGAGAGCCCCAGCCTCTTCTCTGTTGACCCCCATCACACGAGTGAAGACCCAGCTCTGCTTCATTTCGCGGCTGCCTTGCAAGGGAGCCACGTGGTGACAGTGGGGAGGTTCCTGTTGCCCTGGCCCTGGCTGCTCAGGGGGTTCGCTGTCCTGCCATGGAGCAGGCTCACCGCACGCACAGCTGCCGTGGGCTGCTGCAGTGAGTCCAGCCGGGAAGCTGTTCGGTTCACTGCCCAAGCGGGGGCGATGGGGAGGGTCAGGATTACCGCCTGCGGCAGTGCTGGCTTCCTGGCCCTGGCAGCACGGAGGCACCTGCTCAGAGTCAGAGCCCTGCCCTCCCCACTCCTCACCTGAGCCTTTTCTCTGGAGCTTCCTGTCTGTAGACGTGGCCCCCGTGACCAGGACGCAGGAGCCTCTTGGATTCTCCCAGCTGCAGCCCTGCGGTGCTTCGGCCCCCTTGCTGCTCCTCCGGCGTCTTGGTCCCCTCTGCAGTGCCCCAGGAGAAGCCCCCTGGACAGCAGGCTGCTCTGAGCCCTCTGCTTCCTCCTTGACTTCTGCCTGGGCATTCCCACCCCACTGCTGGGATGGGGCAGGTCTCGACTTGTACAGCCTGTAGGCCACAGTCACCAGGAGCAGGGCAGCAGCCGACAGCACCACCTTGCCCGTCAGCTGCATATCCAAATGCCAGTCCTGGACCTCTGCTCCTCTGGGGAACATGCTTCTCCAGCCAACCTGGGGCTGAGGAATGTCAAGAATCTGATTAATAATTGCCCAGTAGGGACCGGTTCCTGGGTCCTGCCGAGCAGAGGGGAGGGAGTTCTGGGCTGGCTCTGGCTGGCTAGCCGAGGAGAGGAGTCAGAGCAAAGGTGACTTTGAGCTGCTGCAGAGGGTAGCCGCTGGGACCCAGAGCTGGCAGATCCCCAGCAGGCCTCCTCCAATCCTTCCCTGGTGGTGGGGGTCAGGGGTCTGCCCAGGGGCTGAGCTTGTGATCGGCTACCTGAGCCAGAGCTGTGACAGCAGCAAGAGGATGTTAGGAGTATCCAGTAGACACACAAAGAAGGAGGAAGCTCTTAACCAAACAGTCACCCGATGCCAGGAAATGCACGGGGCTGGTTATTCTTTATATGTGTGCTTTATTTTCTCTTTTGCAAATCTACAGAGCTCAGAGGCTTGGGTGTGGTGAGTCACAAGCAGGTGGAGCTCTGGTAGGCGTGGATGGGGTCATTCTCGTGGGGGCCGCTGGTCCTTGCAGTGGGGTCAGCTTTTTGCTGGCCAAGCAGGGAACAAGGCATTGGAGGCTAGAGCCAGGGCCTGCAGCCAAGCCACCTGACCCGGCCGGTGGATGCCTCTGCCCTCCTTCCCTGCCTGACAAGTTTATTAAGAGAAACCAACCTTTCTGAGAACAATGGGGAAAGACATGGCATCAGTCCTCAGATCAGGGTTAGATGGGGACACATCTTCTCTTTTAAAACCAGACAATCTCCTATGGTGAAAGACTGAGGGAAGACTCGCTTCTCTCAAACCCTGTTACCGTCTCCCCTCCCCCATCACCAGTGCTGTGAATCCTGGACCCAGATTACCTGGCTCTGCTACTCACCAACTGTATGACCTCACGAAAGCAGCCCTACTACTGTGCTTCATCTGAAAAAGGGGGTGACGGCATACGCACCACGTCAGGCTGTGGTAAGAACTAAACGGGCTACAGAAATAAACACTGGGGCAGAGCCCCCACTGTGAAAGCTTAGTCAATAGAAACTCTTCTCCTCCCTCCCTCCTCTTCTTCCTCATCATCGGCACCATCATCGCTAGTATCAATCGTCATCAGCAGGACCTTCCAAAGCACAAAGCTAATTCTAACCCTCCGCTGTCCAAGGTCCTCAAAGGGTCCCCAGAGTCCTGTTCATGGGTCCCAAACTCTTGCTGCCTCAGGGCAGGTCAGGTAAAGTGAACAAGTGAGGACCCCTGTCCACTCCACCCCAGCCGATGGTATCAGGCCAGGTGGCTCAGCACTGCCTCCCCCTCCCACCGTTGCAGAGAAGCTTAGAATCCCAGTAGTGACGTCATCCCTCTCAATTTGTAAATGTTGGCATCTGATTGGAAAATGAAAACGAAAACCACTCTGCGGGCCACAGGAAATGCATGCGCGGGAGGAATTTGGCTCTGAAGGCTTTGACTCTAGGAGACAATCCTGACTTCCTATGCCGGCGTTCACAGCCCTCTATGTGCCAGCCTCGTTTTACCCTTCCAAATTCATCTCCTGATCACTGCCTAGAAACCCCAGGCTCAGGGTGACTTCTTGGCTGGCAAGGCTGGTAGACATCCCTCCGGCTCACTGGAGTTGGGTGAAAGACTGTGTGAAAACATTCCTCCCTGGTGCCTCCATCCGTCCAAGATCCCCATTTCCTCCTTTGGGTCTCTTGTTCTCAGAGAGAGGCTCCTCTTTTAGCTTTGGCCACAGCTGCTGCATCGTGAAGTACACTGGGTGCAAGATCTGGTCTCCTGCTGGATTCCAAGCCCTTTGGACAGAGTTTGTAGCTGGCTCAGCTGAGAACCCTGTCTATGTGGGGCGCTGCACGATTTGGGACAATAGCCAGCAGGGACTGTCTTTACACTGAGTGGATTGGGCTGGACACTCGGGATGAAGCTCATCTCATCTCATGTCATGCTCACAGCCCCTTTGGGGAGAGACACGATTGTTATCCTCCTTTGACAGCAGGAGTAACTGGACCTCCAAATTATGTCAACTGGCTTGTAAATGGGGATGTAAATCTTTGTTTGTGGCGTCCAGAGTTTCACAGACTTGACTTCATCCAACAGGTGTGACCTCTTAGGAAGTCAGGTGTCCTCAGCCTGTCCCACTGGTGGCTGGCAAGAAAGGTCCCCTGGATTCCCTGTCTTTCCATCCTGGTCAAAGGAGTGCCTATCAATGGAACGTGCACAAGGTTTATGAGGGGTGTTTGTTAGAGATGCAGCTCTCCGCTCCCCTCCCCTCCCCTCCCCTCCCCTCTTTCTTTCTCTCTCTCTTTCTTTTTCTTCTTTTTCTTTCTTTCTTTTCTTTCTTTACTCTCTTTGTTTCTTTGTTGCTTTCTTTTTTTTTGATGGAGTCTCACTCTGTTGTCCAGACTGGAGTACAGTGGCATGTTCTTGACTCACTGCAATCTCCACCTCCCGGGTTCAAGCAATTCTCCTGTCTCAGCCTCCTGAGTAGCTGGGACTATGCCACCACGCCTGGCCAATTTTTATATTTTTAGTACCACTGGGGTTTCACCATATTGGTCAGGCTGGTTTTGAACTCCTGACCTCAGGTGATCCACCTGCCTTGGTCTCCCAAAGTGCTGGGATTACCGTGAGCCATGGCGCCCAGCCAGAGATGCAGATTTCTAAGCTCTGCCTCAAAGATGTCCTGATTCAGTGGGTTGGGGTGGGTCCTGGGAAACCTCCATTTGAAACTGTCATCTCAGGAGCTTTCAGTGGGTCTAGGAATAAAAAATAAGCTAGCTTTTCTACTTGTCTGCTGAAAATTCCTGTTCATTCTTGGGTGTTGGGTGAGTAGTTCCTCTCTACATAATCAAGGTGAGTAGCAGAATGGAAATGAAGTCCTGGGTGCTTTGTATAAGTCAAGTCATTTAATTTTCCAGTAATCTGGAGAGGTGGTTATTATCATTGCTCCTATTTTACAGGTGAGGAAACTGAGGCCAAGACAGATAGTGCCAATGGCTCGAGAGTGACAAGTCCTGATCTATAACGTTTCTGGCTGCACAGACCATTGTCTTCATCTAGAAACTAGAGAATGAGTTATTCAGGGTAATCAGAATGTTTTTCCAGGGGTGAAAAATGCTTCGTTGAGGTTGAGGGGTCCCCCAGTTGCCTGGCTAGCATTCCATTGGTAGGGGTAGCTGTATCTTGGAGAAGGGAAGACGTCTGAAATGCTCCCTTGGTGAGGTGGGACCTCTCATTGTCCTCTCAGATGCCACCAAGTTAGAAGGTTCTCAACCCCTGTGACTGCCGCTTCCCACCTGATAAAGGCTCCATCGTATCCCAGAGCACTGTGTGTGGCTCCAGCTTAAATCCTTCAAGTCAAACAATAGCATTTCCATTTGAGAAGCTCCTGGGTACCGGATGTGCCGGAACCAGCCTTGTGGTGTGGGGAGGTGGGAGGATCACTGGGAGCAGAAGACAGTCCCAGCCGCAGGGGAACTGATGTCCCTGATCCAGAAGACCTGGCATAAGCCTGAGACATGATCAGGCCACCATGCATCACAAAGGAGAGATGAATGAGGTGGGTTATCAGAACAGAGGTCAGGAAAAAGGATTCCAGAAAGAAGTATTTAGAATTGGGTATTGATAAAGAAAGGAAGGGGCATAGACTGATGGATTGATTGATTCAACAAACATTTACAAGATACTTACCATGTACCAGGCCATGTGTTGGGATGTTCATGTCATGACATAGGTTAGCGAGACCGCCATGGCTCCTGTGCCCATGGAGGCTGTGGTCTAGGAGATGCCGCGCAGGGAGATGGTGGGGGTGCAAATGCTGTTTCTGGAGGGCTTTCATGGGAGTTTGGAACAGGGGTCCCCGCATCATGCTAGGATGACAGGGTGTGGCGATGGCGTTTGATGTGCTGGGAATGGGGGAAATAGCTAAGAAGAGGAACCTGGGAGGAAGTGAAAATAACAAAGGCTGGAGACCTCCAGACTGGAGCTTGGGGCTGGGTGCAGGGTGAAGGGCGGGGCCAGATGCCACCGATTTGAGTCCTGGCTTGGCGCTTCCTGTGACCTTCCCCTGTTTGAGGGCAGAAGTAATGCTTGTGAAACAGCTGAGCCTAGAAGATGCCTTCATTAAATGAGGCTTCCTGCTGTCTGCCCCGCATTCCAATTCTCAGTGAACACAGCCTGCTGACGGTGTGTGAAAATGTGGGTTTCATTATTATTCAGGTCTGGCGAGGCCACCAGTTCAGGATACAACTACCATTGAAAGGTGGTGTTTTACTCACAGGTTCCAAGAGAAGGGGGCACACTGTACCAGGCAGGGCCTTGGGGTGAAGCGCTGGGTCAGTCAGGAGGCAGAGGGAGGGCGGCAGAAAGCAGCATGGGGGAGAAAGACTTTCTGATGGTTTTTGCAGGAAGGAGCGAGAGGCAGGGTGAGCAGGATTCAGACTGGCTAGTTGGAATACTTTCAGCAGGCTCAGGACTGTCTTTACTTGTCTGGTACCTGGGCCTAGGGTGATTGGAGGAGGGGAATACTGGTGCAGAGTGTGAGAGGCCTTGAGAATCTGACGAAGGTGATGCTTGTGGGGGTGTGGGTTCTGATTGGTTGGTTTGCATATGAGAGATATACTCCTGGGTAAGCAACCTGCTGTTTCTAGGAACTAGCTAACCCTGAGAGGGGCAGTCTCTCCTGGTCAGAGAGGCCCCAGAGGTGAAACGTCAAGGATATAGAAAATAGGAAAATAGGCTGGGCGTGGTGGCTCATGCTTATAATCCGAGTACTTTGGGAGGCTGAGGTGGGAGGATTGCTTAAGCCCAGGAGTTCAAGACCAGCCTGGGCAACAGAGTGAGCCCCTTTCTCTGTAAAAAAGTTAAAAACTTAGCAGAGCACAGTGGCCTATGCCTGTAGTTCCAGCTACTCAGGAGGCTGAGTCGGGAGGATCCCTTGAGCCCAGGAGGTCAAGGCTGCAGTGAACTATGCTTGCACCATCGCACTTCAGCCTAGGCAACAGAGCAAGACCTTGTCTCAAAAGAAGAGATGAAACTATAGTT